TGTGGTTGCATCCACCTGTTTCCCCAGCCCAAGTGTTGAACCCTTATTATGAAGCAGTAGCTTGTTTAGTACAGAAAAGCCAGATAGAATCTAGGTGATATTTTGTAGCAAAGTGTAATTAATGTTCCTTATACTAAAAAACAAGTTGTTTCATTATTTCAAAATAACGATTCTTGGGCAATTGCTTTTGCTCAATTTTTGAGCCAAGTTGATATTCCAGATAATTGATTGTTGCAATTTTCCATAATTTTCTGAGAAATTGCCATACTGATTTCCAAAGTGGCTGTACAAGTTTGTACTCCCACCAGCAAGAAGAGTGTTCCCCTTACTCTACATCCTCTCCAGCAAAACTTGTCATCAGTGTTTTTGATCTTGGCCATTCTGACAGGTGTAAGATGGTATCTCAGAGTTGTTTTGATTTGCATTTTCCTGATGAGCATTCCTTAAATGTCTTTTGGCCATTTGAGTTTCTTCTGTTGAGAATTCTCTGTTTAGACCTATACCCCATTTTTAAATTGTGTTACTTGATATTTTGTTGTCTAGTTTCTTGAGTTCTTTTTGGAGATTAGCCCTCTGTCAGATGAGGGGTTGGTAAAGATATTTTCCCATTCTGTATGCTGTTATTTTGTCTTGTTGACTATGTCTTTGCTTTGCAGTTTCAAGAGGCTTCATGTATTAATTGTCGATATCACTATCTGTGCTACTGGTGTTATATTCAGGAAGTATAGTCTCCTATGCCAATGCATTCAAGGCTACTTCCCACTTTCTCTTCTATCAGGTTCAATGTAATTGGATTTATGTTGAAGTCTTTGGTCCACTTGGACTTGAGTTTTGTGCAGGGTGACAGACATAGATCTATTTGCATTCTTTTACATGTAGACATCCAGTTATGCCAGCACAATTTGTTGAAGATGCTTTCTTTTTTCCATTGTATAATTTAGGCTTCTTTGTCAAAATCAGGTGTTCATAGGTGTGTGGGTTTGTGTCAGGGTATTCAATTTGATTCCATTGATCCACATGTCTGTTTTATGCCAATACCAAACTGTTTTTATTACTATACCTCTATAGTAGATCTTGAAGTCAGGGATGGTGATACTTTCAGAAGTTCCTTTATTGTACAGGATTGTTTTAGCTATTTTGGGTTTTTTGGTTTTCCATATGAAGTTGAGTACTGTTCTTTCAAGGTCTATGAAGAATTGTGTTATGATTTTGGTTGGTATTGCATTGAATCTGTAGATTTACTTGTTAATATTGCAATTTTTACTGTTAATCCTACCAATCCATGAGCATGGGAGATCTTTCCATTTTCTGATATCTTCTTCAATTTCTTTCTTCAACAATTTAAAGTTCTTGTCATACAGGTCTTTCACTTGTTTGGTTACAGTTACCTGAAGATATTTTATGTTGTTTGTGGCTATTGTGACACTTGCTGTTTCTCTGATTTCTTTCTCAGCCCATTTATCATCTATATATAAAAGGACTACTGATTTTTTTTTAGCTAATCTTGTATCCTGTTACATAGCTAAAGGTATTTATTAGCTATGGGAGCTCCCTGGTAGAATTTTGCGGGCCACTTGTGTATACTATCATATCATCTGTGAAAAGCAAAAGTTTGACTTCTTTCTTTCTAATTTGTATTCCCTTAATCTTTTGTTGTCTTATTGCTCTAGCTAGAACTTCAAGTACTGTAGTGAATAGATATGAGAGAGTAGACAACTTTGTCTTTTTCCTATTTTAGTGGAATTGCTTTTGAGTTTCTCTCCATTTAGTTTGATGTTGGCTGTTGGCTTGCTGTATGTTGACTTTTTATGTTTAGGAATGCTTCTTGTATCCCTGATGTCTTCAAGACCTTTATCATGAAGGGGTGTTGGATTTTATTGAAGGATTTTTCAGCATCTAACGAGATGATTGTGTGGGTTTTTTCTTTCAGTTTGCTTATATGGTAGATTACATTGACAGTTTCTTGTATGTTAAACCATCCCTGCATCTCCGGGATGAAGCCTACTTGATCATGGTGGATGATGTTTCTGATATGCTCTTGGATTAAGTTTGCCAATATTTTATTGAATATTTTTGCACGAATGTTCATGAGGGAGATTGGTCTGTAATTCCCTTTCTTAGTTGTATTTTTGTGTGGTTTTGGTATCAGGGTAACTGTAGCCTCATAAAAAGAGTTTAGCAGTGTTCCTTCTGCTTCTATTACATGGAACATTTTGAAGGGTATCAGTATTAGCTGTTCTTTGAAATTCTGGTAGAAGTCTCTGCTCAAACAATCTGACCCTACGCTTTTTTTTGGGGGGGAGGCTTTTGATGACTGTTTCTATTTCCTTATGGGTTACAGGTCTATTTAATTTGGTTATCTGGTCTTAATTTAACTTTGGTATGTGGTAGTTATCAAGAAAATTGTCCATTTCTTTTAGATTTTCCAATATTGTGGAGTACAGGTTTTTGAAGTATGACCTGATGATTCTCTGATTTCCTCAGCATCTCTTATTATGTCCCCTTTCTCATGTCTGAGTTTGTTAATTTGGATATTGTCTCTCTCTCTCTCTCTCTCTCTCTCTCTCTCTCTCTCTCTCTCTCTCGTTAGTTTGGATAAGGGTTTGTCAATCTTGTTGATTTTCTCAAAGAACCAACTCTTTGTTTCTGTAGGGTGAAAGGGTCAACTGGAACAGAAAACCAACCAATCCCTGGCACCCTGACTCTAAACCTAGAGCCAGTGAAAGAAACACAATTGACTTTGAAATCAGAGCCATCTCTTCCCCTAACTGACCAACTGAACCAACTGATCCCTGAGCAGGAAACTAACCAAGCACTGAACACCCTGACTCTGAACCCAGAGTCAGGGAAAGAAACACACCCTGCATCTGAAACTGAGCCAGGAAAAGAAACACCCTTAGACCAAAGAAAAATGCCCTGATTCTGAAACCAGTGTCAAAGAAACAAACTTTTTTCCTAGAATCAGAGTCAGTGAGAGAAATATTCCCTGGCCCTAAGATTAGAGTCAAAAGGCTAAAAAGGACCAGTGAAAGAAGTACAGTTTGGCCATGAAGTCAGAGCCATCTCTGCCCCTGACCAGCTAAACTAACCAATCCCTGAGCAGGAAAAAACTAACCAATCCCTCTTCTTCATGAGAAAACTCCACCCCAGCTTCCAGAGCTGTCCTATTGCAGCTCTAGCCCCCCCCTCCACCCAGCTGTCCTACTGCAGCTCTCCCCCTCCAGAGCTGTCCTATTGCAGCCCTTCCCCTCCAGAGCTGTCCTATTGCAGCCCTTCCCCTCCAGAGCTGTCCTATTGCAGCTCTAGCCTCCCCCTCCAGAGCTGTCCTATTGCAGCTCTCCCCCTCCAGAGCTGTCCTATTGCAGCCCTTCCTCTCCAGAGCTGTCCTATCACAGCCTGAGCTAATGGGCCAATCAGTTTATAGTTAATGTAGACCTCTGTGTGATTTCTTTGGGACTTAATGACTGTGGGAACCAGGCAGGACAGAAACTCAGTCAACAGTGTCCCATAAGTTTGGGTGTGTTGTACATTCATTTTCATTGAATTCTAGGAAATCTTTCATTTCTTTCTTTCTTGACCCAGTAGTAATTCAGTTGAGAGTTTTTCAGTTTCCATGGGTTTGTAGGCTTTCTGTAGTTTGTGTTGTTGAATTCTAACTTTTTTCCATGTTGATCTGATAAGATACATGGGGTTATTACAACTTTTTTGTATATGTTGAGGTTTGCTTTGTGACTGAGTATGTGGTCAGTTTTAGAGATGGTTCCATGAGGTGCTGGCTGAGAAGAAGGTATATTCTGTGTCTGGGTGGAATATTCTATAGATGCCTGTTAAGTCCATTTGGGTCATAATATCTGTTAGTTCCCTTATTTCTCTGTTAAGTTTCTGTCTGGCAGACCTGTCCACTGGCAAGAGTGGGGTGTTGAAGTCTCCCACTATTAGTGTGTGGAGTTTGTATGTGATTTAAGCATTAGTAGTGTTTCTTTTACAAATGTTGGTGCCCTTGTGTTTGGAGTGTAAATGTTCAGAATTGAAACTTCATCTTGATGGATTTTTTTCCTGTGATGAATGTGAAATATCCTTCTTCATTTCTTTTGATTAATTTTAGTTTAAAGCCTATTTTGCTAGATATTAGGACAGCTACACCAGCTTGAGTCTTAGGTCCATTTGGTTGTAAAATCTTTTCTCAGTGCTTTGCTCTGAGGGAATGCCTGTCTTTGAATTTGAGGAATGTTTCTGGTACGAAGCAGAAGGATGGATCCTGTTTTTTTTTTTTTTTATCCATTCCATCAGTCTGTTTCTTTTTATAGGTGAATCGAGTCCATTGATATTAAAAGATATTAATGATCAATGATTGTTAATTCCTGTTATTTTTTGTTTTGGTGATAGTGTGTGTGTGTGTGTGTATGTTTCCCTTTTTGGTTTTGCTGTGTGAGATTATTTATTGCCTGTGTTTTCATGGATGCAGCTAACTTTCTTGGGTTGTAGTTTTCCTTCTAGTACTTTCTGTAGGTACTAGAGATGTAGGTATGGATTTGTGGATAGGTATTTTAAATCTGGTTTTGTTATGAAATATCTTGTTTTCTCTGTCTATGGTGATTGAAAGTTTTGATGGGTATAGTAGTCTAAGCTTCCATCCATGGTCTCTTAGTGTCTGCAAAACATCTGTCCATGACCTTCTGGCTTTCAGATCTCCACTGAGACGTCAGGTGTAATTCTGATAGGTCTGCCTTTATATGTTATTTGAATTTTCCTTTTCAGCTCTTAATATTCTTTCTTTATTCTGTATGTTTAGTGTTTTGATTACTATGTGTTAAGGGGGATTTTTTTTTGGTCTAGTCTATTTGGTATTCTGCAAGCTTCTTATATTAATAGTTTTCTCAAATATTTTTGTGGATACATAAACCATTTTTAGTTAAGGAATGCTCACTTTAGCCTCTATATGTGGAAATGGTTCCAGGAGAATGCCTTTAAACTATCTGGGAAATAAAGATGGGTGTTACCTTTGCCTTAATTTCAGTGTCTGCTCTGAACTCCAGAAGTTTGGCAGCTATGGAGGTGCTGTTGTTGTAGACCGCATAGTGGAGAGCCGTGTTTTGATCCGCATCAATGGCATTGGAGTCAGCACCATTTTCCAGGAGAACCTTTACACAATCCTCATGCTGACGCTGTGCTGCCTGTGGATATTGTCCCAGGGGAAAGACTGTTAGCTAAAGAAATTCGAGATAATCTTTCCACAAGTTCCACCAAATAGTTACATTTAAATGTCAGAAATTCATTTTTATTCAAGTTTTTTTTAAAAAAAAAGTTTTGAGACTGTGTTTTCATGTATCCCAGGCTGTAATGAAACCTGCATGTCCTGGGTTTGTGTGGCACAGTCCTCAAGCCTCTGCCTCCAGTACTACAGGACACGGGCCCCATGTCCGCCTCCCACATGATGGGGTACAGGCCTCCCACACCTTGATATCCGGGAGTTATACTCCTCCGTCTACGCCTGCACCTGTCAGCCCTAATTACCTTGATCAGAGCTGTACTTTCGTCGCTGTCTCGGGCTTCAATGTTGCATTCATACCATAGCAAGAGGGTCGCCATTTCAGCCTGGCCGTGAGCGCAGGCGTAGTGCAGAGCAGTCCTGTGAGAGAGAGAGCATGCCCGAGAGCTACTGTACAGCGTTAAGACAGTAAGACGAGGCAGCAGTTGGGACTGCCCTCACTTTTCCTCCAAAGCAGAGGAACCTATTGGAATTTCTTTCTTTCTACTCAGCAGTGCTGCGAATAGAGCAGAGTTAAACCTGGAGGATCCCAGAGGGGAAGGCATCACAGCAGAGACAATGGGAAATTTGGAACGGCTTGTTGGCTGAGGTCTGCCTGGAGTAGGGACCACACGGGCAAGCAGCACGGCTTCCATAGTCTCAAAACTGAGAAAGTCTCCAGGGAACAATCCGCTTCAGCATCAAGGAAGCAACCGAAGCTAGTGGGGCTCTTGTGGGAAGTTGAGAGCGTCACACACCCTCTGATGAAGACCGCTGCTAATCAAACTATCCCACTTAGGAACCAGAAGGACTAACAGCTGATCAGCAGTTGGTAAGTGAAGAAGGCCACGCTGAATAACCGACTCTGAAGATAGCCTCTCGCTTCAGCTGCCATGTAAGGTCCCTCAGGAAATAACAGGTAATCCCTGGTTCCCGAGAGATAAAATGAATATGGGATTTTATTGAATGAAGCTTTGTCCTGGGATTCCGCAGCAACTAGCAGTTCGTTCATGTGCACATTTACAGAAAATGCTGTGTATCTCAACTGTGGGGGTGAAATCACATTTAAACTGTCAGTAAAGCGCTCTGAAAGCAGAATATTATGGGGGTTGGAGACCAACTAAGAAGGAAGTAAGTCTTCCTTCTTTCTCTTCTTCTTTGCTTCTCATTAAGAATGCCTAGACTCTAGACCCATCCACGGTGTGCAGGTTTCAGGTGCTGAGGAGCCCGTGGTGGGGAGAAAGCCCAGCATCCCCTGTGAAAGCAGGCCTGGGCCTCCTTTCTCCAGTATTTAGGGGCCAAGACCTCTCCTAGGACCCCCCTGCCACTCACTCATACCTGTTCCGGGCCACCCCCATCCTGCGCCCTCTGACCTTTTCTTCCGGTCTGTAACGTTCACGTCCACATCCCCAAATTCGAGCATCCTCTGCACTTGGGTTATGTCTCCCATGCTTGCAGCTTTGTGTATCTTCTTCACAGGTATGTAGCCCGTGAGGTACCTGTGCCATTCTCGGTTCTCAGCGTTGGCATTTCTAAAGCCCAGGAAGCCCCAGGGAAAATGGCCCTTGAAGATCTTCTTCATGACTCAGACTGCGGCCCTTCACCCTGGACTCTTGCTTATATTGCCTTCCCTTCTCCCGTTAACAGCCTCAGTGCAGTGCTCACAGGAACCCAGTACCTCCGGGTCCCAATCTTAGCCACTTCCAGTACTAATGCAGAGCCAGCCAAGTCTCGGAATCTCACCAGGATGCGCCCACAGAGAAGCCCCAAGGTTTAACATCCCTCCACCTCTTAGGCAGTTGGCAGAACTGTCGTTGCCAAGCAACGCCGTGTGCGCATGCTCCAGAGTAGACCTTGGACACCAATCACCTCAGGCAACCGACAGTGCTCAGTGCGCATGCCAGGCTCATGAACTACTGGGGCATTCAAGTGTCTTAGGAGGAGGATCCAGATGCTATGCTCAAGGTCTGCTCGCAGTCTTGGAATGGAGCTCCCTTAGAGTGGATCTTCATGCGGCTGAAGACTCATCTCCAAGAAAACCTTCCTCAGAATTCTAACTTTGACGAGGGCAGTATCTTGAATGCCCCGCCAGCCTGGGTGACATAGTGAGATCCTTTCTCAGCAAGCGAACACATCCTCTCAGAGTCTCCATTTGGGCCGATTATGCCTCCCCACCATCTCCCTACCACCTCCCCACCTCCACCAGAGGTTTCGACAACAGAATGCTGCTTTGGTGTTTTCATAGATGGTGCTGATGTGTGTCATCAAGTACAAGTCGATGTGGAGGAATCTGCACTCTCCAGATGAAATGAAAACAGACCTCTGCTGCCTCCTACCCCACTTATTTGACCCTTGGGAGTATGATCGCTGTGTTCATTTTTTTCCTTTTAAATCTGCAGGGTTTATTTGGATCATAGTGTAATAGTTAAGAATTTCACCTTTTAATTTGACCACTGTCCCGGACATTTCTTTTCCTAATTATGTTATAATGCCTCTTTAAGCAGCTGGGTCCTGGTGTCACAGCCTTGCCCCATTGCCTAGTTCCTCTTCTTTCCTCTTCTTCCCCCCCCCCCCCCCCTTCTGTAAGCATTACAGCTCAGATGGAAAGGGCTCCTAGCAGCCTGGAGCCAAAGATTATCACAAAGTCACAGTAAGCAACGGAGTAGCTTGCGCCTCTGCTCCTGGGAAAGGTTTCCCCAATGTAACAATTCTGCTCCGGCAGTGGAGGCTTTCCCCAGGGAAATAGTAACAGATCTGCTCAGGTCCTCCAGAGTGTAACAACTCTACTCGCCCAGGTGAAACCTTATCCAAGAGATTTATTGGGAAGAATCCAGGTGGGTGGCTGCTTATGCCAGGGTGGGGAACAGCAGAGCAAACTGAGCAGGCGCAGGGCTTATATAAACTTCTTAGGGGCACAGTCTTTGCAGGGTGAAGAGTTTCAGGATGAGAATTGGTCAGATTTCAATTCCTGAATTTGGACAAGCTCAGAGATTGGCTGGATTTCGTGTTCAAGGATTGGTTTTCCTGCTCAGTGATTGGCTGGTTTTTGTGCAGAGTTTGTCAGGGGCAGAGTGTGGTTTTTGGCTCTGGTTTCAGGGTCAGGGTGTGTTTCTTTGACTGGCCCTTTTACCCCTACATCTTCCTCTTCTTCCTCCATGCCCTCTTCTTTCTTTCTCTTCTTCCTCCTCTTCCTCCATGTCCTCTTCCTTCTTCCTCTTCTTCCTCTTTTCCTTCTTCCTCCTCTTCCTCCATGTCCTCTTCCTTCCTTCTCTTCTTCCTCTTTTCCTTCTTCCTCCTCTTCCTCCATGTCCTCTTCCTTCTCTTCTTCCTCTTTTCCTTCTTCCTCCTCTTCCTCCATGTCCTCTTCCTTCTTTCTCTTCTTCCTCTTTTCCTTCTTCCTCCTCTTCCTCTATCTGCTTTTCTTCCACTTCCTCCTCTCTTTCTCCTCCTGCTGTCCACCCACTTCCTCCCCCTTCTCCTCCTATTTCTATGCTTCTTCCATCTATCTGGCCACTACACACTAATTTTTCAAGTAAGCCTACTAGTAGCAGTTGCCAGCCAGGATTTGACTGACTCTCCAATTTCCCATGTAAGTCTCTTGAGACACACATTGGCCCAGCCTCCCCTTAGGACCTCCAACTGCACCCATAGAACATTCTAACTGCCTTAAAAGCTGGACTCAGCCCCCACCCAACAAACTCTGGACCTGGAATTTTCACCAATCTTCATCCTGGAAAGCTCTGCCCCCGCCCAAGAAAAGCTGTAGAAACCTGTCTTCTGTTCTGTTTCCTGTTGTTTCTTGCCTGAGCAGAGACAGCCACCCTCCTGGGTTTTTTTCTCTTCTAATAAATCTCTTGTGTGAGTTTTGTTGTGTGGTGTGACTTTGTGATATTTCTTGGCTCCCAACTGCCGGGACACTTTCCATCTATGCTGTAACATTTATTCTCTATACTAGTTCTTTGGCCAATGTCTTCTCCACATCCTTGATTCCTTACATCAATTTCCACACCTCCCTGCAAGCTCCCATTTCTGCCTGGGCCCTATCTCATGCTTCCTAGGTGCCATCAACAATGGAAGCCTAACCTCAGCACACTGCTGCCCCTAACCCAGCCCTTGCTGACCATTCACATTGTTGCTCCCAAAGCAGGAGTGCTCAGGAAGGACAAAGCAGAGTATAACCCCCACCCTGCTTTGCATCCGTCCTGCCACACAAAGAAATAGCTAAGAAACAAACGATGGTGGGACAGCATACATTAAAATAACACCGTGAAAGAGACCCAGGCTTAAAGGAAGAGGTTCAGACTCTGCCATTAGTCCCCTCCTTGTGAGGAGCAAGTGTGCCCCTGTATGAATGAGCATTCACAATGTGAGCACCATGGCCATGTCAAAGGCCAAAGGTCTCAGATTCACAGGACTGGCAAGGCCTTCCCCCAGTCCAGGTATAGGTGTTGACAGTATGTACAGAAAGTCTCAATGACAGCTATCTCCTTCTGGGTGACTGCAGCCTGAGATGACGCCCCTCAGAGACTAGCTAACCTGCCTCCTTGTTCAGCTACTTGTGATAAACATGCTGAGGGTCTTAACCACCATTCTATTGCTGTGAAGAGACACCAAGGAAACTCTTATGTTAAAAAAGCATTTAACTGGGGGCTTGCTTACAGTTTTAGTATCTTAACTCACACATCTGAACATTCAGTGCATCTTCTGTTTGTATGGCAGGTCTAGGAATCAAGGAAAAACACAGCCTTCCTTTATACACAAGCAGATGCCCAGTTTTCCATATGAGGCTGATGTAGACCCAGTAGGGATAGTGACCACAGAGTCTTATCCCCGAGTAGATGCCATTGTGTCAGGTCACTAGAGAGGTGCTGTAGTTGAGATTCTGAGAGCACCTGGGCAAGACAGATGTGGGGATTTTAAGTCGGAAGAAAAGGGAAGCATTTCATGCAAGGATGAAAGCTGAGTTGGGGACTCCAGAGTAGTGAATAATGATGTGGGAACGGCAGGGTTGTAGCCATGCACTGGAGCCCCCAAATTGGCCTGTCCTAAGGAGCTCAGAACTAGTCCATCAGCAGTGAGAGCATGTTGGGGACCAGCTATGACTTTGTTCCACCTCAGAAAGCCAGCCAAGTAGAACAGGAAGGACAGAATTTGAGTGTCGGCATGCACAGTAGGGATGTTTGCTGCTCTTCTGGAAGACCAAGGTTTGATTCCCAGCAGCTGTGTAATCGCTCTCTGTTCCTCTTTGTCTCTCCGATTGCTATTGGAATTAAACATAATTTTACTATGTTCATTGTTGCTCGGATTTTTCTGTCTAAAGGTGTCTAGTCTGGTAGCTCACAACTGTGTGTAATTCCAGCTTCAAGGGATCCAGTGCCCTCTCTGGCCTCTGTGGGCACCTATACACATGTAGTTTACCACCCCTCAACACTCACTAAGCGAAAATAAATCTTTTTATTGAAAAATACTTTCCACACAATATATTCTGATTACACTTTTCCCCTCCCCAGACTCCTCCCACATCCTCCTCACCTCACTATTCACCCAATTCCAAGCCTTTTCTTTCTGTCTCTTTAAAAAAACAAACAATAAAAAACAGGAAACACACATACAAAGACCACAAAAACAGAAGCCAAAATATACAAGCAAGTGACTAATAAGACAAAAAATGTCCAAACAAAGCATATGAAACAAGTCTACAAAATTATCATTGAGTCCCTTTGTGTTGGCCGACTACTGTGCATGGATGGGGTCTACCCTGAAGTGTGGGTAACAGACCCAGGGAGACTCCATTGGAGAAAAATTATTTTTCCTTAGCAATAGGGTATTAATTGTAGATAGCTTCTTTGTTAGGGGTGGAAGCCCATGTCTACTTCCCACTTGTACTTTTATATAATTGACCCCCCCACACATAGGGCCATAGGGAATGGTATTGCTAGGTGACTTTGTTGGAGTAGGTGTGGCCGTGTGGGAGAAAGTGTGTCTGTCATCTTGCTTCCTCTGTGTCTAGCTGGTGACTGTCTCCACCTTTCTTCTTTCCAGAATTCTCTTAGTCTGTTTGCCCCATCTATACTCTCTGGCTGGCCACAGGCCAATCAGTGTTTTATTAAACTAATATGAATGACAAATTATTTACAGCATGCAAAAGCATTATACCACAGCAGTTATCTATCTTATCCTACCTTATCAATACCAACCCCCCTTTTTTTGCAGACAAGAATCTACCCGCTGTGGCTCCACTCACTGTGGGTCCCGAAAGCCTAGCCTAAAGTTCTCAGGCAGGTTGGAGGTGCGTGGCCAGGAACTGAATTCAGCCTTCCTAGCTGTAAGAATATGGTGCCTGTGGGTCTTAGCTTGTTGTTTCTGTTTAGCCCTGCCAGCTGAGAGGCAGCACCTTTTAAAGGAACCGGGTCCTTTTTCTTTTTCCTTTCCTTTTCTTTATTTTTCCTATTTCTCAGGCCCTACATGGAAATACGGGCCCCACGTTGGGCACCGAAATTTTTTTTTTATTCTTTATTCTTTGTTCTTTGGAGGGACTTGCCACCCAGCTCCCAAATAAATACACACAGAGTCTTGTTCTTA